AAAGGCCAGTGCTGGGTCCTGCTCTCAGGTGGCCTAAGAGTCAGTGGTGGCCCTGGGTTGGCCCAGCTGGAGCTCCATATAGGGCTAGGAGCCCAGGTCCAGTGACATCTCTCCCAAGCTCTTCGATAGCACATCCCTGGGGGCTGTCTGTGGGCAGCTCTGCTTTCTGGGGTGTGAGCACCTGGAGAGGGGCCCAAGGTGTGTTGCTGGATATGCAGCTATGCCCTGTGGCACCTGCTTACTGTGAATGCCAGGCTTCATCTGTCCTGGCTCCACTGGGGGCCCGTGGACAGCCCATTTTGGCCCATGGAGCTTCCTGCTTACAGCCTGAGCTGCTGTGCCTTCCACTGGCCAGCACAGGGCTAGCCTCAAAGCCTGGCATCATCTCTACAGCTGCCTGGCTAGAGAGCTGAATACTCTCATCCCCCATGTTCCCGTTGTCAGGCTGTGTCCTCTGTCCATGGAGAACCATCTGTGTTGTCAGGAAGTGATGCCCCTGTCTCAGCCTCAACTCTGCCCTTTTCTCACCAGGTCTGACAAACCATGGACAGACCAGGCACATGGTAAGAGGAACAGGGGGCAGCATGGTACTGAGTACGCACTGCAGCTTGCTCCATGCTCGGTAACATCTGGGAGGCTGGGTGGGACCCAAGAGGCTATGCTAGGCCCATCTGTTTGGGGCCCAGACAGTCCTCAAAGAGCTCCTGCTTGTCCTGGGTGTGGTCTGCTGGCTGCATATTGGCAAAATAGGTTGGCTGGCCCTGGCTCCCTGGGGCGCTGCTCCTAGGGTGTGGGTCACTGCATGGAGGCCCAGGGGCTACCTCATACCCTTCCTTTGCTTCAGGGACCAAGCCGTAACCTCTTACTCAACGGAAAGTCGTACCCCACCAAAGTGCGCCTGATCCGGGGGGGCTCACTGCCCCCTGTCAAGCGGCGACGGATGAACTGGATAGATGCCCCAGATGATGTGTTTTATATGGCCACTGAGGAGACCAGGTGGGGGGCTGGTTTAGGGCAAAAGGGGGTGGGCAGGGACCATGGTCGCCTTCCAGCCCTCACCCCTTCCTCCTGCTCACAGGAAGATCCGCAAGCTTCTCTCGTCCTCAGAGACCAAGCGTGCTGCCCGCCGGCCCTACAAGCCCATCGCCCTGCGCCAGAGCCAGGCCCTGCCACTGCGGCCACCCCCACCTGCTCCAGTCAACGATGAGCCCATTGTCATTGAGGACTAGGTGGCCACCTGCCCCTGGCCTGCCCAGCGCTCCGCCAGCCCCATGTCTGTTTCTGTGAGGCCTGCACGGCTGGGTGGCCTTTTCCCCTGCCAGCGCTGCCCACCCACCCTGGACCCTACACCCTGCGTTTCAGTAGTGCCCCACCTCCGCCCTCCCTCACAGACCGCTCCTTCGGCGGACATTGGGGAAGAAGTGCGCTTTAACTTATTCCAAGAATGCCAAGGAGTCGGGTTTTTTTTTTTTTAGCTTTGTGTTTACTTTTTGGCTGGAGCAGAAAGGAGGAGTGGCCCCAGCAAAGTGTGCTGTGGGGCTCTTGCCTGGGGCCAAGCCCAAGGTTTTTGTTGTGTTCTGTTGAAGGTGCCATTTTAAATTTTATTTTTATTACTTTTTTGTAGATGAACTTGAGCTCTGTAACTTACACCTGGAATGTTAGGATTGGTGCAGCTGGTGATGGCCAGGCTGCCTGGCAGGGTTGGCCCCTTGTCTTTTCAAGTAATTTTCATATTAAACAAAAACAGAAAAAAAATCTCATAAAAAGGAAAAACCCAGCCCTACTCTGTCTTTCGTTCCTCTGGCCATAGGTTCTCCCTGTCCCCAGCACCTTAGACAGTTTCAGGGCCTGCCTTGTCAGGTTGGGACACCTTCTCACATGGTGGTCCCAGAGCCAGGCCCTCTGGGGCATGAGGGCACACTGGGCCACTGGCTCTGCCCTGGAGGAGCCCGGCCCTGGGCAGATGAGCTGAGCCAAGACTGCAACAAGGGAAGCCTGGCTTGCACAGGGAGAGGAGGGAGAAGGCTGAGGCATGAAGATCCCCATAAATTCAAGGCCAGCCCAGACTGCAAAGCAAAACCTGGTCAAAACAAAAAGGCTGACCCTGCCACCAGGATCATGTCACAGGGTTGGGGCCTACCCTGGAAGAGCCCTGCCCCAACGACTACACCTGGAGCTTTCTCAGGCTTGCTGAGATGTCACAGCTAGGCCCTGCTTGGAAACCCTCCTTTTGCTTGTCCCGTGCCCACCCTCATAGAGACAGGTACTAGCTAGACCAGCTTAAGGCTTTGCCCTGGCTGGCCCTGTTCTGGGGGACAGTGGGCTCTTCTCCCTTGCCACAGCTCCAGGCACTTGGGATGTGTGGAAACCTCCAATTAAAATAGAAACCACTTCTGTTCCTGGCCTGGAACAAAGATAAGGGGGTAACCGCCTCCCTCTTCCAGCCTGTGATGGGGCCCAACAGAGTGACAGCCTCAGGTGTTGGGGACAGGCTGCATTGCGCACTACCCATCCTCCCAGGAGCTTTGAGTCAACAGTCTGCCCCCATGGTCTTGGAGAAAGCCTCTCAGGCCTCTTCCAGCTTGGGGTTTGAGGGAAGGGAAGTGGCTCTAGGCTGGTGAGCCTGGCATCCTTCTCCTCAGCCATGAGAGGAGTTTCTCCCAAAGCTGGCCTTTTCTGGACATACTGTGTGTGGACAAGGACAAGTTCAGCTTTGCTGAGGAGCCAGGGGTACCAGGCTTTGTCCATTCCACTGTGCTGGCTGCTGTACCCACTGTGGGGCCAAGTTCCTTCTGCCTGTATCTGTCTCCCGGTGGCTTGGGGGTCTAAGGTTAGGAATGGGGGCTGGGCACAGACTGGGATGGCAGGGTCCCAGGAATGGGTTTTCCACTCTGCTTCTCACTGTTCCTGCAGCCCAGGGCAGGCCCTCCCAGGGGGGCAGGTAGACATGCTCCAAGGGATTAGGGGGGATGTCAGGGGACCTGCCAGTTCCACCTGTCCTGCCAAATCTACCTCAGTACCACCTAGTCTGGGCTTCTCCATCCACCACTGGCACAAAGCTGGGTTCCCTGCAGCAGAACAGGACTGGGCAGCAGGGCACCATGTCTGGGGGGGGGGGGGATGGAGACTGCCCTGTGCCTGGCCACCTAGGTTCCTGCCTGCTTCCCCTGCACCTAGCCCTTTGCCATACCAGGAGTCCATCTGGTCCTGTTACTGCCCAGCCTGTTACCATGGCCTTGAGATAGAGGCCCAGGCTACTGTACTGGGTCCACTGACCCATGGCCCTTTCTACAAACCCAGAATAGCTCCTTAGCACCAGGGAGCCTGTAGCCTTGACCCAAGGACTGATAGGGTGCGGGGGGAGCAGCACTCCCGACCCAACCCGCTCCTCTGCTGCTACCCTTTGAGCAGGAACTCTCCGAGCCCCCTCCTAGAAGACTCCTGTGCCCAGCCAGCCCATGCCATCCTACAAATGTCATTTGTGGAGTGCTCAGGAGAGTGATGCTTAGGGTTCCAGCATTCCTGGACCAGGCGGACCTAGAGGACACAGTAATCGTTACTGAGTGGGGCCCAGGGCTATGAAACTAGCCCGAGCAAGGAGCAGGCTGTGGGTGAAAGGCCCTGCCCATCATCTCCAGCCTTGGCTGGCCTGAATCCAGAGGTGCCTAGGGGGAGCTGGTTAGGCTGGTCAGTCAGGCTTGGGGAAGCATATTTTTCAGGCTGCTGTCACCATGGAAATGGCAGTGCCTGCAGGCCACTTAAGGAAGGACAGGGAGACCAGGAAGGCAGAGTCACCTGGTTCCTTAAGGCTCACGACATACTATACCAGGGACCTGCAGCAGAAACAAAGGCCACTTGGTCTGTGTCCTTGGCTGAGCAGGTGCACCAGGCAGGGGGAAACTAAGTCGACCTCAGCGTTTGCCAGGGCCTGGCAGACACTATGCAGTGGGGCAGGGGCAGGGGACAAAGCTGTTGGTTGCCCAGACTCGGCCTGGTCATCAGGGCTTTCAGTGGGTGGGGGATGTTTGTTCCACTGGCGCATGGCCCAGCTTGAACTGGGGAGTGCAGAGAAGGTTCTGTGAGTCCAGGGTGGGTCCCAAGTACCCATCCCTTGCACGCTGGACCTGCCGGGCACCAGGATGGAGGAGGAGAGATGGGAGAGGTCAGTCAGGAAAGGCCCTCGGGAGAATTGGGAGCCCGAGGAGTTCCTGAAGGTTGGCAGGGTAGGAGCCGTGATCTGACTGGCTAGTTTCCAGCTCTGCTGCCTACTGCATGCCTGAGGCCGGAATGGGTGCAGCTGGGATTCTGGAACCCGGCATCTCGGCAGGTGTCAGCTCACACCCATGGCACTGGTGGGACTGCGTGGGAAGGAGCTTCGGCTAGAGAGCACCCCTTCCCGCCTCCCGTCCCCTCCTACGCTGTCCGCTCTGATTTTGGAACTCGGCGCCTCCCAAGAGCCCGAAGTCTGTCTTCAGCACCACAGACAGGACCGTGGCGCCCAGCCCGCCCACACCTAGACGCTCCGCTCCAGCGGCCGTTGCTATGGAAACTGGGCAACAAAGGGAGGCGGCGCCGCTGCAAGGCGGGCTGGAGTGAGGATAGGGGTATGGGGGGGGTGCGCACAGCCACCGCCCAAACGCCAGGGTGTGTTCCTCGAACCCGGGGGCAGCTCGCGAGGGGGCGCCCTAGGCGAAGCCTCGACGTTGCCATGGAAACTCGAGGGTGAACTCTTGGCCGCGGCCTCTTAGCCTATGTCGGTGGTGCCCAGCTGAGTCTCCCGTGTCCTAGCCAGTTGCGCCCCGCCCGCGGTGCCCCCGGCACCCAGGCCAGCCGTTGGGGGGGTAGGGAGGAACAGGGTCCCGAGGCCACGCCCAGGACACGGAGCCAATGGCAGGCCCGCAGGGGCGGGGGCGAGGGGGCCGGGCGGGCGGGCGGCGGCGGGGGGGGGGGGGGGGTCCGGGCGGGCGGCGGCGGGGCGGGGCGGGGCGGGGCCGGGCCAGGCCGGGCGGTGGCGCTGAGAGGAGAGCGGGCGTAGGGCGCGGGCTGACCAGACGCACGGACCATGGCCTCCAAATGTCCCAAGTGCGACAAGACCGTGTACTTTGGTGAGTGCCAGTCCTTCCATCCCGCCCTGCCCACGCGTGCTGGCTCGCCGCACTGCCCACACGGGCGTGGCAGGGGTGGGGCTGCCCACGCGGGGACGGCCGAGGCGAGTTGCTCAGGTTCTTCCAAGACCATCGCTGTACTGTACGGGTGGGCCCGGCAGAGTCGTGGGGGCGGGCGGGCCGTGATCTGGGATCGGCCCGGGCTCTACCGTCTCGGGACCCGCTTACCGCCAGCGCAGGATTCGAGCCGTGACCCAAGCCCCTTCACCGTCTCCCCGGGACGCGGGGCCAGGGCCAGTGGCGTCTTGATTCTATCCAGGCGGGGGCGACCTTAGCCTACGCCTCCCGCGTGTCCCAACGCGCTCACTCTCTGGGCGAGTTGCCCGGCGGCAGGTTCCCAGTGGAGGTGGATGGGGTGGAGCGGGGATGAACCTGAGTTGTGGGTCCCGCGAGTTTGAGAAAGCAGCAGGTAGCCAGGATCCCGGGCTCCTGGAGTTCTGGATGGCCGAGTGCAGGTAGGCGGAAAGGGCTGATCCTCCCTCCCACGTCCAGGAGTTTCCCGTCCCCCGCGCTCCCACAGCCCCCTGGCCTGTTTGGTGTAGTCCTTGGTCTGCACCTCGTTTTCTGCTTCTTCTTGGCTGACCCTCTCCACTTCGCTACGGAGGGACAGAGGGGGCCAGCCAGACTAGGGGGGTGGCAAAAGGGCTGGACAGCCAGGGTCCCTTCCCTGGTCATCTTAAGAACAATGGTCGTTGGCCTCTGAGTTTCCCTGCCAGTTGGAGGAGGGGAAGCCACACAGTGGTTTGCTGTTCCCAGGAGGAAGATCCGGATTTGCTGGGAGAGCTTCTGGCCTGGACGGTCCAGGGGCTTCCTGCTGCCTCTTCAGGAGCTAGCCCAGACTTCCTCCTTGTTCCAGAGAGGGCTCAGGGTGGGGATAGTCTCCAGGCCCTCCATGTCTCTGCCCTGGGCCTTGCCAGCTTGGAGCTCTTGGGGCCTGGTCCAACAGGCAACCCGGAAAAGCGCTGTGCTTGGGCTCTCATTGGGAACACAGGCCCTCAGACACAGCTGGCTTCTGTCCTCCTGAGGCAGTGGCAAGGTACTGGCAGGAGTTCCAGGATCTTGTGCCCCAGTAGCCCACCCTGGAGTGGGAACATTCTAGGGGACCTCAGGGTGCCATGCTTCTGTGTCCTGTAGAGCACAGGCAGCTGGGGAGGGAGCTAACTCCTCAAAGCCATTAGCCTGATCGATCTTCTGTTCCCAAAAGATCCTCTGTTCCCAACTCCAGCCTGTAACGTAGTCATTGACCCAGCCAGCGGTCTGCAGGTCAGCTGTCTGCCCCAACATGGCCCATGTCCCAGAGCTGGCTGGGGCAGCATAGTTCTGGCAGCCTTGAACTGCAGCTGCCACAGCCACCGATGGCCATCCCGACAACCTCCTTATCACAGTGCTACCAGAGGACACCAGGGCAGTATGGGAGCCAAGTCTGACTTCCTCCCAGCTGGCCCTGCCTACCCTAGTCCAGACAGAGCCTTGCAGAAAACTGAGCAGATATTGCCCTGTATTGTGGGGACATGCGTGTGGGGGTGTTCCAGGAGGAGGCCCAATGGGCCATGCCTAGCAGCTTTCCTCAGGGCCTTGGAGAACAAGACTCAGACCCACTGGGGCCACTTGGAAGATCCAGGTTTGCTGTCCTTAGATCAGTACCTCTGTGCCTCTGAGGTAGACTGTGTCCTGATGGGGGTGTCCAGGAGAGGCCTGGCCAGTGAGAGGACACTTTGCAACTTAGAGAAGAGCCCTATGCTACTGCTGCCCAATGGGGTGGTTTTATCCTAGCTGGTGACGCCTCCAATCTGGCCCCTTCCCTGTGGAATTCCAGCCCTTCTTCCTGCCCTACTCTCCACCCTTTTCCTGCCTCAGCCCCATGAGGACGCCTGGTTTCCGTCCATTGGGAGGTGACTGAGCATCCCCCCACAGGCTGGGGATGGCAGGCACCTGGTCCTCAGCAGCTGGCCTCAGACCTTTGGCGCCCAGGCGGCAACTGGAGGCGGCTGGGTGGGGGAGATATCTGGACTTAGGAAGAGGAACCAAATATAGACAGATGGGGTCCTGCTTGGGGTCCCATGGGAGGAGGATTAGCTTTCCCAAAGCCCAGGCTGGAGGCCCAGGGCCTCCCCTCAGCTCATTTAGGGCCTCTTTGGGGAGGGGCTGTCGGGGATGGATGTGAGGGAAGACAGGTATAGGGAAAGCAGATGTGAGGGCACAAGTGTCAGGAGGCAGATATTCCAGGGACAGCAAGCAGATGTTGAGGAGGTGCAGGTGAACCCAGGAGTCACGCCTGACATGGAGGGGTGACAGATGCCTGTAACTGGGGTATATAGGGAGGACAGTCCGGGCCAGTGGGTACAGAGCAACCTGACCCCCACCCCTCTACAGCGGAGAAGGTGAGCTCCTTGGGCAAGGATTGGCACAAGTTCTGCCTCAAGTGTGAGCGCTGCTCTAAGACGCTGACACCGGGGGGCCATGCAGAGGTGAGCAGGGAAGGGGGGGTAGGAGGAAGTGGGAGGGTCTGGATCTGCGGCCTGACCATGACTGCCTTCCTCCCAGCACGATGGGAAGCCTTTCTGCCACAAGCCCTGCTATGCCACGCTGTTTGGACCCAAAGGTGATTGTCATAGGCTGTGACCTCTGCTGACACCAGCAGTCCTGGTGGAGGGTGGTACTTTGGTCCCATGGTTCCCAGAAAAGCCTGGGTGGGGTGAGGTTTGTGTTCCCCAGCCACTGACTCCCAACACCTGCAGGTGTGAACATTGGTGGTGCAGGCTCCTACATCTATGAGAAGCCCGTTTCTGAGGGTGCACCAGTCACCGGCCCCATCGAGGCCCCTGCAGCCCGTGCTGAGGAACGAAAGGCCAGTGGCCCCCCAAGGGGGCCCAGCAGAGGTGGGGGGTCCTTGAGTGCCAGGGTGGAAGTTGGTGGGGCTTCATTGTGCCAGGGTTCTTTGATTGCACTGACACCACCTGCCTGCAGCCTCCAGTGTGACCACATTCACTGGGGAGCCCAACCTGTGTCCTCGCTGCAACAAGAGGGTCTACTTTGGTGAGTGAGCTTTGCCCTGCCCTGCCCCTGTGAGTCTGTGGACGGCCTTGTCACCTGCCCCTCCCTTGCAGCTGAGAAGGTGACATCTCTGGGCAAGGACTGGCACCGGCCATGCCTGCGTTGTGAGCGCTGTGCTAAGACTTTGACACCAGGGGGTCATGCAGAGGTGAGCATGGATGGGTTGAGTCCCCAGGAGAGTTGGGGACCAGGAGACCCCCAAGGTGAGCAATCCTGAATTGACCTTGGAGCTGCAGGGCTCTTGGGAGGCCACAGGTCATGGCATGTCTGTTTCTGGGGAGTGGGGAGAAGGGCTGGTGCCCAGTGCTCTTGTCCTCATCCTGCCTGCAGCACGATGGCCAGCCCTACTGCCACAAGCCCTGTTATGGAATCCTCTTTGGACCCAAGGGTGAGTGTGGCCAGGGGTGCAGGGTGCATGTACTCCTTCCTCCTGTCCAGGCCCCAGTTGGTCCCTGGTGGACCACTCAGCTTCCTGTCTCCATAGGAGTGAATACTGGGGCTGTGGGCAGCTACATCTATGACAGAGACCCCGAAGGCACCGTTCAGCCCTAGGTCTCCGCCTTCTGTGGGCTGGGACCCATCTGCCTCCAGCTGGCCCTGCCTGGACCCCTTGCCTGACTCTGTGGGGGACAGTAACCTGCTGCCTAGCCCTGCCTTAGTACAGCTCACCTGCCAGGAGGAGGCAGGGACCATCCACAGAGCTGCCCAAGCCCAGCCCATACCCTGGTGTGTCCCCCATCCCAGGGCCTTGTGTATCCCCACACCCCCTTGTGTGTCTGCCTGTTTTGTGTATTCCCCTGCCCCAGTATTCTCTGTGTCTTGTGTGTCCCATGACCTCGATGGCTTTATGAGGTGGCTTTCCTGTCCTCCTCCCGCGCCTATACTTGCCCACCAGTATTATTTATGCTGCAGCTTGCCGGTGATGGCCACGTGCTCACAGCATCTCTCTGGCTGGGGTCACCCCTCTCTTTGGCCCCCATGCCGTCCCCCTGTCACATAGCTCACACTTCATCCTAAGACTTGCAGTTAATAAAGGTTTGGGGATCACAGGACTCAGCTGTGTGTCTGTGGTTGTAGGTTGCGTGTGACTGTAGAGTGTCTCTTCCTCTTGTCAGTAGACATCTGGGAGGGTTGGACTGGGTGGAGGAAGGGGTATCCCAGGGAGGGCCCAGGCTGAGGGCAGGTGGAGTAGGGTCATTTCTGAGGCCCCAAGGAGGTGATTACTGCAGCTGGATCCAAACTTTGAAAAGAGCAGGGAGCATAGATTCAGGAGCATGAGGTAGGGCAGGTGATCAGTGAGCGGGGCACCTTGTCCAGAGAATGTCAGAGCTTTTAAACTGATGGATTGGGGAGCAGGTGAGGGGTAGGTGGGCAGCTGAGGGGCAGGGTCCCAGAAGGTTGGAGGGGTATATGCAGGACAGGCCTAGCCTCTCCCAGGATGACATCTTCTTTACTTGACTGGACTCTAGTGGGTGGAGATGGCTTACCCAGGTGAATGATTGGGGTTTGCAGCCTGTCTCTGCCCAAGTAGCAAGGTCTAGAATGATAAAGGAAATTGTCTTGGCTCCACACGTCACCCAGATTCCGTCCTGGATACCTGGGGGCCTACAGCCTCCTCACTGGGTGCTTCCTCCACCCACCACTCTGAGGATGCCCACGAGAGGGCGCACCTGTCCTTCACTGAGCAGCTGCTGTGGAGCCTGACCTGCCCTGGGCTCGGACTCCTGCTCTAGTGGGCACCACACACCGTTGCCACCTGGGGCAAGGGGCTTCCACATCTGGCCACCCCACAGCAGTGTCCTTCAGGCCTGTGCAGCCATCCTCCAGACCACAGGCTGGCATGGCTGAGGCTGGAAGCCAGGCCCATCATCCTTCGAGCAGCACATGTGTCCCTGTCCCTGCATGTGGGGCATGGGCTGGCTCTGTCTGGCAATGCCCCTGCTGCCCCCCAGGCAGCCTGGATTGTAGCCAGCACATTTCCTCTGCGAAGGAGAGGTAGAAGATGGTATCTGCATTAACTCCTGCTAAGAGATGCAGCTGGGACCCCTCCCTGCAAGGAGTCAACTTCTGCTCAGAACTCACCACGCAGGAGCCCACCCCACACTCCTGGTGCAGGGGAATGTTCTGATCTCTGCTGGATGGGAGAAAACCATAGAGGAGATGCTCTCTGAATCCAGGGCACAAAACCTCATTGGGCTGGGTGGAGCTGAGAGACTGTGGTCTTGCCTGCAGATCAGCAGATCTGTCCCTTAGCCCTGTGGCCAGCATTGCTCCCCCACCCAGGCGGGAGCAGACAGGACCAGGCCATTTCCTGCTGGGGAAGATGACGCTGCTGTGTTTGTTTCCCAGGGGTTGCCATGGAAACCAGGGCGTTGCTGCTACTGTTTGGGCTTTGTTGCTGGGTGGTGGCCCGTTCAGTGGCATCAGCTCCTGATTCCCCCAGGATGGAAAGGAGGGGGACTGGATGCTTTTGCCCTGGGATCCAGCTCTCCCCACCTCTCCAGGAGGTTGCCCACAAGCCTTACTCTTGGACCCT